ACACTTAGAGACAGACAACCGAGCACACTCACATTCACACCTATGGACAATTTAGAATCACCAATTAACCTCAACATGTTTTTGGACTGTGTGGGAGGAAGCCAGAGAACCTGGAGAGAACCCACGCTGCACGGGGAGAACATGCAAACTCCACGCAGAAAGATTCCGGTGCGAACCGGCAACCTTCTTGCTGCGAGGCAACAGTGCTACCAACTGCGCCACCCTGCAGCCCCCTTAGACTTGAACAGTGTTTTTATATTTCGTTTTAAGCTGCTGCCAAGTGCACCTCTCTCCCACGGGATTGCACCTAAATTAAATTAAATAATAGACCGCCATTCAAGCAGTTTTCCTGTAATATTATTGTGATTGCAAAGGACGACAAACTTACGCACTGACCCGAGCAACAATATTCTCCACGCCGTCTCCCTCTGTTTTGCAGCCGCAGCAATGTTACACTTCTTTTTAAAAACATGTTCAAACTTGCCATATGGGCACATTGAGATTTCTAGTTCTAGTGGGGTGAAAAACGCGGCCATCCACAACCCCGTTGCCATGGTGACTCGTCAAATCGGGGCTCCATTGATGCTGGCTTTTTATAATTGTGATGCATGCGCTTAGCTCCAGGTGAAACTACTCCGAGTTGATTAAGCTAACTCAAATCCGCTGTTCTGGAACCGGAAACTCAGAGTTTCCAATCCCAGAGTAGATCAACTCAGAGTTCAGGATTAGATTTAGAGTTTGTTGAACCTGCTTTGTGAAACGGACCCAAGGTCTGGTCATGCCTGATACAGGGACCTTTATGGTGGGAGAGGTTGAGTGATTTTTCATCCTCCATGTGCCATTGTGTTGTGCAAATGCGTTTACTCAGTCTTCCTTGCTGCACCCTCAAAAATGCACATATTGCAAATTTCTATATAATTTTGTGGCTCTGTCTGACAGCATTGAGTAGCCTGTTATTATTAAACACTCATTTTTGCGCTGCTTACCTACCTGCTGTGTGATGAGCAGGATTATTATGGCAAGAGGCTGCAGAAGACCTCAGACCTGCAGAGCAATGCCTGCATGACTCCAGCCAAGCCCATCCCTGCCTTCATTCGCGAGGCTCTGAAGAAAGTCCACCCTGAAGTCTCTGCCAAGTTAGTGGGCCGCTCGTGCACTCTCTAATCTTGAATCAACAGTGCAACAATCTCACTCCAATACAAACCGAGGTGTTTCCTTGTTTCCCTCAGATACTATGGCTGTGGTCTGGTGGTGCCGGAGTCCTTGGAGGGCTGCAGGATCCTGGACCTGGGCAGCGGCAGTGGGAGAGACTGCTACATGCTGAGTCAACTGGTTGGCGAGAACGGACATGTCACCGGCATTGACATGACTGAAGGCCAGGTATTGTGCATCGATGTCACAGTATCGGACTTCATCCAATTAGACATTTGTTCCTTGATCATTTTTTTGATCAAGATTTAATCCAAGTCATTTAATATTTGGTACGTGCCAAAACCATATTATAGATTATTTATAGTACCAGCAGTTGCTGTTGTTATTGTTTATTACAACCAGAGGAGGCCGACACTTCTGTGTTGGCAAGACAAGAGCATTGTGAGAGGTTAGCTTAGTAAAAAGGTGACTGCTATGAGGCTTAGTGACAAGCAAATTATGCTGGGATAAACTAGGACAGTGATCCTACATCCCAGTGGAACATCTGATTGATGCTTTTGCAGCTTTTTTTTTTTTTTTTTTACATTTCCACATGACATCAGATGCTGAAAGAAACAATCAAGCATTGTTTTTGCCCATTCTGATCACTTCAAAATTTCTGTGACTAAAAGTTGTCATAATTCGCAGATTACGGTTAAAAACACGTTTTATGAGGTGAGAATGTCCCCCACCAAATTCTAATCAGTTCATCCTCACAATTGTTTTTAATTATTTTTTAAAAATGTATTTATTTATTTTTTTTACAAGATTTCCTCGAGGCGCTTAACAGAAATTGGTCATGAGAATGGTACGAATGAAGGGATGGACAGACAGCCTAAAAACACAACACCTTTGTCACCAGTGTAGAGGCATAAATGATGATAATGTGAACTCAAAATAGCTCCAAAGTGGCAGCACTAGCTTATAAACAAAAACCTAATTTAGAATTTTTAAGGTAAAAATTCTGCTCCCGTTAGTTTGTATGTGATTAATTGTGGCTTAATGCAGCCAAGCATTATAAACTGTGGACAAAAAAAATACCACAGGACTGTTAAAAAATGAAATGTGCACCCAAGTGAGAGACTTCAGATATGTTTCTTCTCTTTTAGCTGGAAGTGGCCCGGACATATATAGACTACCACATGAAGGAGTTTGGCTACAAGAAGGCAAATGTCGACTATGTCCAGGGCTACATCGAGGCCTTGACCGACGCGGGTCTGGCAAAGAACTCATTTGACATCATTATGTAAGATACGTTTTCTTATCTCTCTTTCTGTCCTGTTTTAATGCTGTGTAAACTGTGTAAAACATTGTTGATGTTTCTGCCATGTGTGCAGCTCCAACTGTGTGGTAAATCTCTCTCCGGACAAGAAGCGTGTTCTGGCTGAAGCCTACGATGTGCTGAAGGTGCACTGCTTTCCCCTTTACACGTTATGAAACTGAGAATCATATACCTATTAGTCCTGTGTACATTAAAATTCACCTCATCCTCTGTTCTGCTGTCTGTCATCAGGATGGTGGAGAGCTGTACTTTAGCGACGTCTACTGCAGCGCAAGACTAACTGAGGAAATTAAAAATCACAAAGTGCTGTGGGGTGCGTCAGATTAATATACTGCTGCCACAAAAACCACAGGTACCTGCCAGAATATCTGAATGTGGTTTATGTCGGCAGGTGAGTGTATCGGCGGAGCGCTCTGGTGGAAGGATCTGCTGCAACTGGCTGACGATGTGGGTTTCAGCCCCCCGCGGCTGGTCACAGCTGCCATCATCACTGTTGATAACAAAGAACTGCAGGACATTCTGGGTTTGACACTTTTTCTTTATTTATTACGTCTGGATTTACGTTTGTGTTTTTTCTTATTTGCCACATATAAAAACCATAACTCAGGGTGCGTTGCAGGAACAAACATAACATTTCTAGCTAGATAAAAAAAAAGATCATAATGAGTTATTTAATCTGAAATCATCAGTAGCCTTATGCTTGATTTGTTTTTAAGTTTTTTTTTTAATCATAATCTAGGGATGTTAAAATGGTATCGTCTCAGATTTTTGTTAATTATGTGCTTCAAGATGCTTAATTTTTAAAAATATTTTAGCTCACCTGTAATGAGACACTATTTGATCTACTTGTCCAATTTGGCAGATTCTGAATCAATACTAAGATGAGAAATAATTGTGAAAATAGCAGGATATAATCTTTAACAGTTCCTAAGAGACTGACATCCAAACATAGCCTTAAATTTCAATGTGTGACTAAATGTGCTAAAAATGGGTCAACAGGCAATTAAAAAAATAAAAATAAATAAAATCTCAGAAACTATTAATTAATATCTTTCTAAATATCTGTATTTTATGCTATAAAAATTCAAATTTTTAAATATTATTTACACTTTACACTATTACAAAAAGTTTTTTAAACTCAACAGTTGTTAAATGTAAACCCTCTTTAAAAAAATTATACATTACTTCCTCGATCAAAGGAATAAACTTGTAAAATTGTTGCCCACCCGTGTAGGTGATTTATTTGCTATTTAAACGTCTGCACAAGTTGTAGGGGACACTGATATTGTCAAATTCATGAGCTGATAAGGCCTCACCACCTACATCTGTCTATGTGATGGCTGTCACACTGAACTGTTGTCAAATAAATTTCATTCATATTCAGTATAGTGTACTCTCATTCAGAGCAAGAGAGAAAGAGAGCGTACACTAGAGAAGTACTGCCCTTCCCTTCATGTTAACTTAATGACATAATTACAGCTGATGTTGGCTTTCTTCTATGGATAAATGATAAACATGCAATTTAAACTTCCTCCTTTCAAAACATGAAATGACTAAAATGGTTTAAAAAATGTATAATGTCTGTGCATTATTGCACACATATAGACATTGAATCTAGTAAAAGTGTAATGCAGCTTTGCCTCAGCCATGACGCTCTCTCAGGTTTTATCTCTAGCACAGTGCAAAAATGAAAGTAAGAGTTTCTTGCACCCTGTACACACAGTTGAAGTCAGCATGACTCAGGTGCAATAGAAGAATGAGAGAGATGTTTACACACACACTCGCACTGCAGTGTAAGTAGCCTCAATATGTGAAAGCACTTGTTTGGGTCCAGGACATGTAAGTTTTAAACAGGGTGATGGTTCATTTGATGAACTTCATGAATTGTTGCACGCCATAAAACACTGAACATTTTGTAGTCATAATCTTTCAGGTAGCATCAGTGGTTGTTAATCCCATAAGTTTGGAGCACTGCTGCCTCTAGTTTATTTGGTTTATGTGATTTACCTCAAGTCCAAAATAAAGAAATTATAGCCTACTATTTTTTGTGGGTTGTTTTTTACATTATGCAAAAAGTTGTGATGTAATAGACTTCATTTACACTGCACAGCTCTGTTTAATGATTAGCATTAGATTAGATATGTGGAGCTGTTAACACTAAGTACGAATGGCATCAGTGAATGCACAGGGTCAGTTAATTAATAATTAAATTTAATCAGTGCCACCAAGTAAATGTTTTTATATTAAGTTGACAACTGATGCATTTTTTCAATTATATTTTTATCTGTTCTGGTAATGCAGGTGACTTTAAGTTTGTTTCTGCCACGTACCGCCTGTTCAAGGTCCCCAAAGGCAACGACAAGCCCTGTCTGATCATGTATGACGGAGGCATTACGGGCGCAGAGAGTTGCTTCGAGTTCGACCATCAGTACACCTTTAAGGTCTGTATATCCTGCTCTAGAAAACCGCACAAGAAAAATATTTAGTGTGACCCAATACACAGTATGTCAACTGTAGCATGCCAAAAATACCAGTAATGTCTTACTACGTCTGATCAGATTTTGCAGCATGCATTCTAACTCACAATCCTCTGTCACGTACAGTATGTCGAAGTGTTTTATGTGAGTATAAACAAGCTTGAGCTGCCAAGAGTGCACATATGACTGTTCAATTTGCAGTACAGACTGCGATGGTCAAAGTATAAGCTGCAATATTAAGACAAAGTAGTATCTCCCAATTGTATGCATACTGTGTGAAATGGTACAAACTGAAAGTAAAAAGAAAACGTATGTGATTTGGAACATAGCTCAGCTCAAAGTCTTCCTCTGCACTGTAGGTAAATTATGCCAATGATGGGTATATTTTACAGGCCAATGACGTGGTGCAGGTGGATGGAAAGGTGGCCAGCATCCTGACCCACTCCAGATTTGCAGAGAACTTTACCTGCCAGACACCAGGAGGCTCTTCTCAGTCCTGCGCAGCCAAACCTAAGGTCAGTGTCATATTTAAATTCCTGGATGTGAAAATGTGTTTTTCCAGCACTAGAGGTCAGTATGTTTCTGGTGTCAGTTGGAAGCGTGTGACACACCCAGAGAGCCCCACTGTCAAACTGCGCACACAGTCGCACGCACACACACACACTCATGTGTGCACAACGCTGCACATTCTCACACTCACATACGCACTCAAACATACATACGCACACATCCTCATGCACAAGGTCAAGCAGCTGTCTTGGAGTCATAACCAGACTGTGGAGTCATGCTGGGGGAACCTTGAACAGGAAGGAATGTTCTCTTCTCAGCTAATGGAATGCCATCTTATCAGTTACTATGGTCGTTCTGTGCACACACACGTCTAATAACATTTTTAAATGAGTAACACAACCCATTAATCACCCATGACACTTTTATTCTGCTATTGAGAGCCTTTTATAATTTGTGGGAAATCTAGTAAATTAAAAAATCAGAGTGACAATAATATTCAGATGTGTTACGTGGTTTAGCCTTTGGACTTAACACCTGGGGTAAAATCAGGCCGAGGATACTTTTCTCTAATCAGCACAGCTCTCTGGTGATAATAGTAATAAAAAGCCTTTGGTCCTGCTCATGAAAGCACAGCTACTGTGAAATGCTGGTTGTAATGAACAACCAGCGTCTGATAAAAGTGGCATTGAGCCGCACAGCAGGAGCAAACATAATAAAAGTCACTATATAAAAGCACGTATTGTGCTATCATTTAGAATGTGTAGAATATTAATCCGTTTGAACGCGCTTCATTCCTTACAACGATCTTGAATCAAACGTTACATAATATTTAAAGATGGGGTGTGTGATTCTAATCCAGTTTTGGTGGAGCTCAGCAAAAATCTCCTCGTGGTCCAGTCCTGTCCAAAAAATTAGTCAGATGCCTGCACACAGCTCTGGCTCTGTAAATAGGAAACAAATGAAAAGTTGCCACACAACACTACTCCAGAGTGTCGCATGCACATTTGTGCTCGTGCACGTTCATGCACAGGGCAGTAGGGAGTGGAGGAGGAGGGGAGATCAGGGGTAAAGTAGGAGGGGAAATCTGGCACATAACACTCTAAATATGCTAATTAGCTAAATATCAACAAACATTCCCCTGATTGGCAGATTTCAACATGAATTGACTGTTCTGTATATGTAATAAACTCCCAATGTTTTCTGCCTTGTTGAACTATTTGATACAGGCAGAAATTGTGGATCCTTTCGATCTGGCCCTTCTGGTGGACAAGCAAGGCCCAGGCTCCACCACTGGGGGATGCTGCAGCACAAAGTCTTCTGCCTGCTGCAAATAATCGTGGGAAGAGCACTGAGACATACAGGCCCAGCACCATACTGTGCACACATAGTGACAGTAGTTCACCTGTACTGATCCAATGATGCCTCCTGCAGCGTAATTATATTGTTTTAACATTTCTAATGAAAAAAACAAAAAGGAATTTAATTCTTGCTTGCACATAAACATGTTGCTTAATGATGCACTTTTCCTTGTTAATCTTTTCTAAAAAGATGAAACACATATGCTGCAACATAGAGTGATCCCAGATCAGTAAAAATGTTTAAATATTTGTTATCAGTTTTGAAAACTGCAAAAGAGTATGCTAACTTTTTTCTTGTAGCTAATTTTATGCTATCAGCCTACTGTGTTAGATATCTTAAATTCACATTCAAAGCAAATCACATCTTCACCTGAACTTTGTATTAACAAATGATACCACTTATGTTATACTGCTACATTTAATAGATTTTTTTTATTCAGCATATTGGCAGGTTTTTAATTATTGTGGGCTTCAAACACTGTCATAATTAGTATCTGCTTATTATGTCAATTTGAATATGTGTTTGCTCTTATAGAACAATAAATATTGACAATCAAGTGAATATCCTATCTTTGTTTTTGTACTGTATTGTGGGTTCTTTACACCTGCTTTGCATGCAGTGCTTCAGGAAATATCCATCCATCCATTATCTATAAACCGCTTAATCATCACTAGGGTTGCAGGGGGCTGGAGCCTATCCCAGCTGACTTAGGGTGAAGGCAGGAGACACCCTGGACAGGTCACCAGTCTATCGTAGGGCTAAACGTAGAGACAGACAGCCAAGCACACGCACTAATTAACCTCAACGTGTTTTTTAGACCTTGTGGGAGGAAGCCGGAGAACTTGGAGAGAATCCATGCTGCACGGGGAGAACATGCAAACTCCACACAGAAAGATCCCGAATACCCTCACCGGGACGCGAACCGGCAACCTTCTTGCTGTGAGGCAACAGTGTTAACCACTGCGCCACCTTGCAGCCCGCTTCAGGAAAAATGCCACAGTTAAATCAAAAATGCATATTTTGTTTCATGAGATAAATCTGAGGGTAAAAGAAGAGAAACAAACATATTTATTCCAAGTGTTAAAGACTTTTCCCTTGCCTTCAAGAGATTGAAGACAGATTGCTGCTTTGTTTTACACATTAAATCACTGTGGGAACAAAAGGATGTATCAGCATGCCCTTATATAATCAAACCAAAATATAATGTAGCACTTTTAACACAACCTGGGTTAACTCAGGCTGCTGTACATCTTTTCAGTTAGGCAGCAACAAAAATATGTGCAGAACACAAGACAAGATAAAGACTGAGAAAATCCAAAATAAAATTGCATAAAATATTAAATCAGGGCAAAACAAGATAGAAACATGCAAGATTGATTTCTGAAATAAATAAGGTAAGAGAGATAAGACTTTATTTATCCCATCAGCAAAGTGCAAAAAATATATATAAAATAATAAATTTACAAAAGTGCTGCTGATAATGTGTCAGCATAAAAATATTAAGATTTTTACAAGCAACCAAAAATCATTAAAAATATGTATGTCTTGAGATTCAATAGAGGAACATTTGATTGAATCTACAATCTAATGCAAATAATACAAATTTTAAAAATTATTTTAATCTCGTTAAATCAGCATCTCCCAAACCGTCTGCATTTTTTTTTTACTCGCTGTTACACTCATAGAACTTTGCACTTTCTACAATATGCACTTTTTTCCTATATGCATTTTTGCAACGTCTGAACCTGGTCAACGTATGTTTAAAAAAAAATCCAGCATGTATATATATCAAAGAAAAAAAAAAACTGCTGCTAAAAGCCCCACGATCTAGGCTGAAAACAAAGGGTGACCATATTTATTCAGTTTTAGTCCCAACACAAGTTCTTTTCTACTGTCCCTATTTGTACAGACAAGCATTTGTACAACTTTTTATTCCTTCTCTGATGCAGTTATTTTTCTTTTTCAAGTTGCACTGTCTTTAATTGTGTTCTTTAAATGATTCATCCAATGTTACGTGCATTTTTAATGTCATGTTAACCACCCTATAACTCCAGGTTTAAAAGTTGCTATAGACATAAAGTTCATTACGATTAAGAATATCTTGCACTGTCATGAGACATTACTTTTTCATAAATGAGCCAAAAGTGCAACATCAGTTACACAAATGTTTTTAATACACCTAATAAGCTGTTCTTTGCAAAAATAAACTGTATTATTGTTTTCACAAGTTATTCTTAGGAATGATAGTTTAAACTATATTTTGATATTTGCATGTTTCTTACTGTGGGTTATTTTAAATGCTGTCTGACTGCGTGGACGCACCGACAGGATGCTGCTTAATTTTGACGTGACAACAAAGCAATTCTCCTTTTTTGTTACATCTTATTGCATAATACGTGTGTCAACTCATCGCAGGCGCATTTAAATCATGTGCAGGCCTGCCGGTCACCTCCTTTAGCGGGATATATGTTTTAAGAAGTCACGAGTAGAGTCCTGTCCGTCTCTTAACATGAGGTGCACTTGTTTTGGAATTTGATTGGCCCAGAAGGCTGCTGACGCCCCGCCCCCCAGCCAGCGGCGCCGTCCGATTGGTCGCCGGCGTCGCCTGTCTTGGGGACATCAGGGGAGGCACGAGTTGGCCCGTAAGCCTGCGCTGCGAGTCATCAGTGTCGGACACGTAGTGGGAACGAGCAGGTCCCGATGCACAAGTCACGGCAACCCTGGGCGGAGATGAAGGCGGACTCCGACTGGCTCTGATTTTTAAAAGCCCTTTTCATTCAGGAGGTTGCTTGCCGATGGTTATCAATATGGCAGATCCGTTATCCCGAACACCCACCGCTGCAAAAATGGCGTCACTTAACCGGGTCCGAGCTCTGGCGATGATTTTCTTAACTGTCACCGGCTGTTGTGTCGCCCCGACAAGTGGCAAGGAAGGGTCCGAGGAGACCGTCATCATCGGGCTCCGACTGGAGGACACGGACGACATTTCCTTCATGGATCGGGGCTACCTGCGGGTGAGCGAGCGCTCTCGGGTCAAATTGAGGGTGTACGGGCAGAACATCAACAACGAGACCTGGTCCAAGATCGCCTTCACGGAACACGAGCGGAGCCGGGTGGTGGGGAGCCCTGACAGCTCCTCGGGGGATAATCAGAGCCAGGAGGACTCGTCCGGCTCGCATCCCTGCGGTATAAGGACTTCGGATATAATTATATCGCCCAGCATCATCCTGAACCGAAAGACATCCGGAATAGTTGAAATCGAGGTCAAACCGCTGCGGAAGACGGAGAGGAGTAAAGCGTACTACCTCTGCATCGCCACCTCGACGCCCGCCGCCGCCGGGATGCACGACCCGTGGACGGAGAACACCTGGATCTACCACGACGGGGACGACACCAAAGTGATAGTGGTGGAGGAGAAAAAGTTCCTGCTGCCTTTCTGGCTCCAGGTCATCTTCATCTCCATGTTGCTGTGTCTGTCCGGCATGTTCAGCGGCTTGAACCTGGGGCTCATGGCTCTGGACCCCATGGAGCTCCAGATCGTCCAGAACTGCGGCACGGAGCGGGAGAAGAATTACGCCAAAAAAATCGAGCCGGTCCGGAGCCAAGGGAATTACCTTCTTTGCTCGCTTCTTCTGGGGAACGTGCTGGTGAACACCACGCTGACCATCCTGCTGGATGATATCGCCGGTTCGGGCTTGATCGCGGTGGTCATGTCCACCATCGGAATAGTGATTTTCGGGGAGATCGTGCCCCAGGCCATCTGCTCCAGACACGGCCTGGCTGTGGGCGCCAACACCATCTTCCTCACCAAGTTCTTCATGCTGCTCACCTTCCCGGCGTCCTACCCGGTGAGCAAGCTGCTGGACTACCTGCTCGGACAGGAGATCGGTACCGTGTACAACCGGGAGAAGCTGCTGGAGATGCTGCGCGTCACGGACCCCTACAACGACCTGGTGAAGGAGGAGCTGAACATCATCCAGGGCGCGCTGGAGCTCCGGACTAAGACCGTGGAGGACGTGATGACGCCGCTCAGAGATTGCTTCATGATCCCCGGGGACGCCACCCTGGACTTCAACACCATGTCCGAGATCATGAAGAGCGGCTACACCCGCATCCCCGTGTTCGAGGGCGAGAGGTCCAACATCGTGGATCTGCTCTTCGTCAAGGACCTGGCCTTCGTGGACCCGGATGATTGCACGCCGCTCAAAACCATCACAAAGTTTTACAGCCACCCGTTGCATTTTGTGTTCAATGACACCAAGCTGGATGCCATGCTGGAGGAGTTTAAGAAAGGTGAGGCAGCCTGTCACCGCAACTTTATTTTCCTCTTTTTTTTTCTTTTCTTTTTTTAAAATTTCCTGCAAATGTGATGAAGTTCCAGGAGGCTCACATTGTGCCTGATATGCTGCTTTGGATAAGGTTGCATCCACAGGTCAAGTTGTGTGAGTGGGTGAATCCAAAATGTCTAAAAAAAAGAAAAAAATTGTAGTGAAGGAAAAAGAAGATGGAGAAGCTTCAGGAGTTGAGGTGCTGCTTCCTGCAAAGAGGAGAAGGTCCTTATCTTTTCTCCATCACTTACATTCAGTGTTAATGTTCACACACTTTCTCTCCCTCCCTCCTGCCACCTCCCTCCTTCACTCTTTCATCTCTCCCTTTCTTTCTCTCTCCCTGATTTGTAAATGCATTTAGGACATGTGGGAATGGTGCAATGGTGCTGTCGAGGTTATCAGGTGGGGGCATCTTGTTTGAGAACCTGCTTAAATCCCCTCTCTGCCTTCTCTTGTGCTTGCCTCTGAGTGATGGTGCCGATAACTCCTTTTGTCCGGCCCTGGAATGCAGTCGTGTGGATAATGAATAACAGCCTCTAACACCCTCCAGCCTCCATGTGTTGTATGTGTGTTTGTATGCGCATGGCATTTGAGAAAGATGTTTACCTCACCCATGGTTTTATCTGATGTTTTGTTATTTTGCATAGCCAGCCCTCTCTCCCTGTCCTCTGCTGTCCCTCCTCTGACTAAGTTCCTCCTGACAGGTGTTTTGTGGATTTATCTGGATACACACCTGTCAGCAGCTTCTTTTATCAACCCTCCAAAAGAAGCCTGATTGATGAATTGCGTGCTCATTAGAATATTCACTTTAAGAGCTTTAAGCGGATTAATTCGGTGGAAAAACAGAACAAATCATTGAGCTCCATTACCAGAAATTAGGTGTAGCGCTCTGTGCCAAATTAGCATTGCATAATATACTAGTTGGGGGGTGTTTGTTTGTTTTCGTCACAGCTGACTAGTTACAGACGTGCACCAGTTTTCTGGGAGAACAAGAAGTGTACTGCCATGTTATGTTATCTGAATATTACCAGATATGAACCCAGCAGCTTCTCTCAACCAGTTTCAACATCTCTTGTGACAGTGTTCATGTAACTTTTTTAAGTTTATGTCTGATTTGCAGGTGTGTATATTCACAAAAGAAGACGTGAAACTAAAAGTGAGGAGCTTTTATCAAAAGTAACAATCTTCTAGAAATGTCTCTGCAACTGTTTTGATGAGATTAACCAGTTTAATAAAAAAATAATGGACAGAGTTGCTGATAATCATTCGCTGCAGCCATAATTCAGAGACACGGAAACTTGTAATAAGTTTTTATTATTGAAGTGAGTGAGATTTTCTACTCTTGGGAGCAAGAATTTCTGTGCAGATGGAAGACCAGTCACTACAACTGTACACTTGTACTGCACCATATCATTTGTTTTAAAAATTTGATGCACATCATCAGGAATAGTGACATTGGTAGTCCAGTTTTGCGTTGTTATCCGTGTAAACTGTTCCATTCTATATCCTTCGTTTGTTCTGCTGTCATCACTACATCACTAATAATGCAAGTGTTTAGTGTTGCAGGATTGCAGGACAACATATTTTTTTGCAAAAATGACAGATTCTTAATTTTTTAAAAAATAAAAAAATATTTGGCACATAAGCAGCGTAAACACACACTGTCCAAAGTTGCAATAAATACTAAAAGTCAGATGTTGCAGCATTTTGACAGGAAAAATCCCAGGATTACAAATGTGTGCAGATTTTTTACACTGGAAAATATATATTTTTTTCCTTTAGGTAGACAGAAATTTAAAATTTTGTACTGATTTCAAACTGCTCCTTTCACAAGTACTTTCAAGAAACTTTTTCTCTCTGATAAGGCCTCATTCATGCATATAGTCATTTTAATTTTGATAAGTGTTTTGCGCCAAAACAAGATGAGGTTATAAGAACTGTCATCATGAACTGTTAACTGTCGCACTAATACTATGCAGCAGTCCCCAATTTGTGTCTTGATTCGTTAGGAGTTTAATGGCACAGAAACACCTGTGTGCACCTACTGCGTCTTTCCAGCATCCAAACACTTGCTAGCTACATACCTTACACTGATACTTACCCAAGTTTGGCTTTAGAATGAAAATCAGTGCAGCACAGGTCGGATTTTGTTGTTAATGTCGCCGGCCTAAGCAGCCTTGGCACACATTTTGTTTGAAATACTCACCTGCCGTGAGCTTGGGTGGAAATGTGCCCATAATGCAATCCAAGAGTATATCTGCGACATTATTTTGCACATTAACGGATGCGGCGTCTTGTTTTATAACTGAAGCGTTAGCTCTGTTCATCTCAGATTCTTGCTGCAGCTGTGTTTTGTGAACTGTGTTTGCGTCCTCCCACCTGAAGAGAAATGCTGTATGTTCACATCATATTGCAAGCGTGCTCAGGTTCAGCTCTGCCGTGTGGTAGCTGAAGGCTGGAGTGTTTCCGTGGCTGGCTGTGCACCAGAGGGAATTTGCCTTCAGCCCCCTCATGGAAGTCATAAGCGACTGTTGTAGGGAGGGCTGCGGGGTCAAAGTTTCCTGTCAATCTGGCTCTGTTCACAGCGCACGCTCAGTTCAAAGTGCTTTGTATTGTAAGTCATTGTTAATTAATTTGATGCCGCTTGCGGAGCTGCATAGTCGTCTGAAGTCTGTTGCAAAAAAATCAAACACGCCACCTATATTAGAGACTGTGTTGGAGCAGATGTTGTATCTTTGCATAGGATCAGAACTTTCTGATGAGATGATTTTAACTTTACTACATTACATAATTCACTGTAATGCAATTCCACCATTAATTAAGACTTGTAAAATCTCAGGCAAGACAGGTTAATTTAGGCATTAAAATACACAAGAAACCAGCTCAGTTTTGGTCACAGGCCCTAGGTCAGGGGTTACAGTCACATTCATGCAGGAGCTTTTTTAATGCAGGCAGACACGCCTCTGGAAACTTCTGACCCCTTCATTAATTGCTTTCTGTCTGCCACCGCAACAATTACCGTCATCCAGGGGTTGCTTGTCAAAGCTGCAGGTTTACCGGTTAATGAGTGGGCCAGCGTGTGCCATTTGGGACCAAACCAAGTGGCTGAGTCAAAAACAAGAATGTAGCTGCCCTTCTGACTTCGAGGTATGTGTAATATTTCCGAAGCTATTCACTCACTTACATGCAGTGGTACCAGCTCTGTGAGAGGAGGCATGTAGGCATGAGGGCTCAAATCAGGTTTTACTTTCTGCCCCTGGGGAGGGCAGGCCACTTGTCTGACATCAGACGCAGCAGTTTGTCTTATTTCTGTCTTTTTTAATTGTGTGCCAGTGAGAAATATAGTGTTTAAGACTTGGATTTTTATGACCTTTCTATGAGCCTTTGTCCACTGCTCCCCTCTCATCTGAAGCCTGTTGAAATAGCCTCATGCTAAATGACCAGAATTTCAATCCAATGTCCCACTATCTTATATTCAACCACTGTTCCATCCCCTAGGGTATAGATTCTTCACCGTTTAAGAAGAAGGTCCTCAGTGTAAAAAAAAAAAAAAAAAAAAAGAGCCTACATAAGGCCTGGCACGTCTTGAACTAGTTCCCCGATTGCTGCAATATAGGCCAATCTATGCTTAATTCAGATTCAGCAGCCTTCACGGTCTCTTTGCTCAGTACTTTGTCTTAATGTGAAACTCATTTTTTCCCTCTTTTCGTCCTTGTTCAAAGTACTGACAGCACTTTTTGTGTTTTTCTTTAAATCGTTTTTATTCTTTTCTGGGGTGTTTGTGCGGAGCGTATCATAGCAAATATCTAGCGAGCGTGTTGGGAGTGTTTGCCCGGTAACCCTTGGTGCTAAACGCTGCAACAAGTGTTGGGATTAAATGGCATCACGTTGGTAAGAACACTTAATGTTTCCTGATGAGGGACACCCCTTTGAACTCAGCAGGACTCCTTCTGCCAGCCGCTCACTTTATCAGAACTAATTACCTTGAATCATTTCGGTGTACTTGGTGTTTCTGCAGACGGCATTAGTAGTAGATTCTTCTCATGTAGAATTTAATTGCATGTAAAAAAAAAAAAAAGACAAAAAAAAAAACAGGCATGTAGCAAGAACATGCATGTTTCCAACAGCATAACATAGTATGTTAACAAAATGGCACAAGCTGTTAATTTAAAATAGTTATATCTTTATATGAATACTTTTCTTTTTAAAATCACATTGTGTTTTCCGCTCCTTTGTCCACCTATCTATTCTTACTTTTTTTGGCTGCAGCGCTCAATATTATCTACTTACATTTTTCCTTCTCTTTCTATAATTACTACCTGTATATAACCTAAGCAATTATTTGAGTTTTTATATGAACTAAATGCCTTTTTGGTAGCACAAAAACGCTTAAAACCTGCTGTTGTAGCAACCTGATGTTTGGTAACTGTTGTGTTTTTGACTCGGTTTAAAGGCCCACACAGGCTGTTGTACATGTTTTAGCCCGTTTACTAAAAGTCATTAATAAATCACTGCCATCAGTTTTTCCAAAGCATTGCGTGGTTTTGTAGAAACTTTCTGGACGGTGCTGTTGGTGATCCATCACTGTGAAAATTTCATTGCCTTTGTGTCACCGTTAGGTTATGTTTGCCAGCAGGGACGGTTTAAATGTTTTGTTGGTGAATTTAAAGCTGCACTGGTTTCTTTCTTTGTCACTTGGAAGCAGCAGAAACACCTGAAAACACATTTTGTACATTTACACCCAGTACACATAAATTTTCTATTTGCACATCCAGCAGACTGATAATAATGATAACATTCATTTTGAATAATTTTGGATGCATGGAGGTAAATTTAAAGATATCAGTCTATTTAGCTGCTAAATACTCGACTGTGTTTACCAGCTGGTGGCTGCCTTTTACTTCATCCAGACTGACACATGATGTTGTGTCAGGCAAACTCTTATTCCAGCCTCCTGTAGATCCA